CTCGTGCACCAGATGGGTTCGGCGATGTCTCGCCACGTTGCCGCCCGTTGCTGTTTCGTTGCCGCCCGAAGCAACATGACGCACAGCGCGCGTAGCGTGCGATCCGTTAGCCGGGAGAAATTCAGCTAGGGGGAGTTCGAGGGGGGCGGCAACTGGACCCCCTTACCTAATGGCAACAGTTTCCTCCCGAACGCCCCATGATGGCCCAAGAGGCCCCAAGATCGCCCCAAGACGGCCAATAGGCCCCCAAGACGGCCCCAGGAGGGCCCAAGATGGCCCCAAGACGGCTCCAGGAGGGGGCCCAGACGGGGTACCCAAACGGACTCTTCGGGCCATCGGCCCCAAGACGCCCCCAGGAGGCCCCAAGAGGCCACCAAGAGGCCCCAACGGCCCCCGTGAGGCGGTGAAACGGCCTCCTGAGTGGACCTCCCACGATATCTCAACGAACACCCACAAGGACGAGGAGGAGGACGAGGAGGATGACGAGGAGGATGAGGAGGAGGAGGAGGAGGAGAAGGAAGAGGCGGAGGAGGAGGAAGAGGAGGAGGAGGAGGAGGAGGAGGAGGAGCGAGTAGGAGGAGTAGGAGGAGGAGTAGGAGGAGGAGGAGGAGGAGCAGGAGGAGGAGGTGGAGTGAGGAGAGGAGGAGGAGAATGAGGAGGAGGAGGAGGAGCGAAGAGGCGGAGTAGGAGTACATGAGAAGGAGGAGGAGGAGGAGGGAGGAGGAGGAGGAGGCGGAGCGAGGAGAGGAGGAGGAAGAGGAGGAGTACGAGAAGGAGGAGGAGGAGGAGGAGGCAGAGCGAGGCGAGCAGGAGGAGGAGGAGGAGGAGGAGGAGCGAAGAGGCGGAGTAGGAGTAGGAGAAGGAGGAGGAGGAGGAGGCGGCGCGAGGAGAGGAGGAGGAGGAGGAGGAGGAGGAGGAGGAGGAGGAGATGGAGCAGGAGGAGGAGGAGGAGAAAGAAGAGGAGGATGAGGAGCAGCGAGGAGCGAGGAGCGAGGAGCGAGGGAGGGGAAGCGTGAAGCGAGCTGCGAGGAGCGGGAGGCGGAGGAGGAAGAGGAGGAAGAGGAAGCGGTGGCGGAGGAGCGGTGAACGAGGAGCGAGGAACAATGAGGAGGAGGAGGAGGAGGAGCATGAGGATGAGGTTGCTGAGGATGTTAATGAGGATGCTGATGATGCTGATGCTGATGATGATGCTGCTGCTGGTGATGATGATGATGATGATGATGATGATGATGATGATGATGATGATGATGATTGAGGTTGATGCTGGTGCTGCAGATGATGATACCGATGATGGTGACGGTGATGATAATCATCATGAGGTTGATGCTGATGACGATTATGGTGATACTGATGCTGTTGATGATGATGATGATGGTCATGATGCTGATGCTGATGACGAATCTGCTGGTGATGACGAAGATTATGATGATGCTGATGCTGCTGACGAAGCTGCTGATGACGTTGATGATGCTAATGCTGATGACGCTGATGCTGATGATGCTGATGATGAGGATGCTGGTGCTGCTGCTGCTGCTGCTGCTGATGATGATGATGATGATGATGATGGTGATGGTGATGGTGATGCTGATGCTGATGATGATGATGATGATGATGACGGCGATGCTGATGACACTGCGGCTGATGATGATGCTGATGCCGATGATGATGCTGTTGGTGATGACGGTGACGATGACGATGGCGTTGGTGATGATGATGCTGATGCTGATGATGCTGCTGATGTTTATGGTGGTTATGACGATTATGTTGACGATGCCGATGATGGTGCTGATGAGTATGATGATGCTGCACATGTTGATGATGATGCTGTGGATGATGAATATGCTGGTTGTGCTGGTGACGATGATTATGATGATGATGCTGATGCTGATGCTGATGATGGTGATGATGATGCTGCTGATGCTGATGATGCTTTTAGTGATTGTGATGGTGCTGATGGTGCTGATGCTGATGCTGATGATGCTGATGCTTCTGATGATACTGATGTTGATCGTGATGATGTTGCTGATGATGCTGATGATGAGGCTGATGGTGCTGATGCTGATGCTGCTGCTGATGATGATGATGGTGATAATGATAAGGAGGAGGACGAGGAGGAGAAGGAGGAGGAGGATGAGGAGGAGGAGGATGACGAGGAGAACGAGGAGGAGGAGGAGGAGGAGCTTGAGGAGGAGGATGACGGGGATGGGACGAGGATCGAGGATCCTGGGTCGAGGAGCGATGCGCGAGGAGCGAGGAGGCGGGGGAGGAATAGGAAGAGAAGGAGGCGGATGATGATGATGCTGATGATGATGATGATGATGATGATGATGATGATGATGATACTGATACTGATACTGATACTGATACTGATACTGATACTGATACTGATACTGATACTGATACTGATACTGATACTGATACTGATGATGATGATGATGATGCTGATGATGATGATGATGATGATGCTGAAGCTGATGCTGATGCTGATGATGAGGATGATGATGCTGGCGATGGTGATGGTGATGATGGTGATGCTGATCATGATGATGATGACGATGACGATGCTGATGATGATGCTCATGATGATGATGATGCTGATGAGGAGGAGGAGAAGGAAAAGGACGAGGGTCAGGAGGAAGAGGATAAGGAGGAGCGAGGAGCGATGCGCGAGCAGAGAGGGTCGCAGAAGCAACGAGCGAGACGGAGGCGGGGGATCACGAGGATCAGGAGGAGGAGGACGAGGAGGAGGAGGGGGAGGGGGGGAAGCGGGAAAGAAGAGGAGGAAGAACGGGGCAAGCCAGCGATGTTATGCGCTCTGAAAGTAAATGTGTGTTCCGTCTCCGTGCTGAGCAGGTCTCATGGCCTTCGCCCCATCCCGCCACCGTGACTTGGGTTGTGGGCCATCCGCCTCGTGGATCTTCTTTGGAGGCAGTTTTGAAGCCTCTGGGGGCAGCTTTGGGGTCTCTTCAGGGAGCCTCTTGGGGGCCTCTTGGGGTAAATTAGGGGCCTCTCGGGGGCCTCTTGGGGCCTTTTGGGGCCCTCTTGCCATCTCAGGGCGCAGAGCTCGAACTTTCGGTTCGTGCCCCCCCTCTTGGACCTTTGTTAGGGACGTCTTGGGGCCTTCTTGAGCCGTCGTCGGCGCCTTTTGGGCCGTCTTGAGGCACTCTTGGGCCGTCTTGGGGGCCTCTTAGGGGGCCTCCTGGGGTGTGTTGGGGCGGTCTTGAAGACTTCTCGGGCCGTCTTGGAGCGTCGCGAAGCCGAAAAGGCGAGAAGGCCAACATCCTCCAAGAGCCAACGGGAATCATTCATTTTGGCCTCTTGGGGCCCTCTTGGGAGGCCTCTCGGGCTCTCGTGGGCCGTCCCGGGGGCCTCCTGGACCGTCCTGAAGCAATCGCGGGCGTCTTGGGGCGATCTTTCGGCGGTTGGGGCCCTCCCCTCCCGAACCGTCCGGAGGGCCTCTTGCGGCCTCCCTGGCCCTTCTGGAATCTGTTCTAACTCTGCAAGAGTCACGCGGGGAGCCTCGTCCTCCTCCTCGTCCTTCGTTCTCCTCCTCCTCCTCCTCCTCCTCCTCCGTCTTGTGCAGATGGCAGCTGGTCGCGCGATGTCTTGCGTGCATCGGGTGACGTAGTCACCGTCTCAGAGTCCTCCAGCGAAGCCCTCAGGGCGTTTTTTCGCCACTGCTTAGGAGAACGCAGTTGTTGATGTTGTCGATTGAGTTTGGATGATGTGGATTCCATGGGCTTCTAGTTCAGTCCGAAAAAAAAGAGAGTCACGCGGGGAGCCGCGTCACGGCCCGGGGGGCACGCGGCAAGCGCAAGGAGACTCAGCCAGTTGGGGCCCGAGCCCCTCGAGAACCCTCGGGAGCGAGGATTGAGGCTTAGAGGATTCGGCACAAAGGACCCGAGGACACGCTCATTCGGTGCCGAAGGGCACCCGGGGGTTCAATCATCGCCCAGCAAGCTCGGCACTGCTCCGGCTTCCCATTTCTTCTTTCGCTTCGGCGACCAGGTCGCCTCCTTGCTGAGTGGCCTCGCGAAGTACCGCGACGTCCTACAGCCGCAATGCTGATTCAGGAGGAGGGGTGCAGGGAGGGATGGAGGGAATGTGAGGGGGGAAGGAGAGAGGAGGGAGGGATGAGCAGGAGAAAGAGGATGTGGACGATAACGAGGACGAGTACGGGAAGGAGAAGGGAGGATGCATAATGATGACGAGGAGGAGGAGGAGGAAGGCATTGAGGGGAACCATGGGGATAACCCCATACGTGCATAGTTGCTACATGTTTGCTTACACCTTTTCCATGACACCACAGCAGACTGGGGACGAGGAGAACGGAGGAGGGGGATGAGGAGAAGGCCACGTCTGGGAGGTAAATAGGTGTGGGGGCGGGGGGGGGAGGGAAGATGCATTGAGAATGGGGAGGGATTTGGACGTGGAGGGGTGAAGAGAGGGGGGAAGGGCGAAAGGGGAAGGGGAGGGTGGAGATAGAACGGAGGAGAGGGGGCATGGGGAGGGATTTGGGAGGGGGAGCGATGTCTTCGGAAACGTGCCAGATGCGCGCTCCTCCGCTCGCGGGAGGGGCGCAGAACAGGAAGAGGAGCATGAGGTTGAGGAGGAGAAGGAGGAGACATAAGTAAGAGTGGGATCATCAGCAGCATGAGGAACGAGAAGGAGGATAGTGATGAGGAGGATGAATATGAATATGATGATGATGATGATGATGATGATGATGATGATGATGATGATGATGGTGGTGATGGTGATGGTGATGGTGATGATGGTGATGATGATGATGATGATGATGATGATGATATTGAGGGGGTGCGGAGGAGGAAGAGGATGGTGATATAATGAATATGATGGTGATGATGCTGACGACGATGATGGTAATGTTGGTGTGATGACGATTGGGGCACTGCTGAAGACGATGATGCTGCTGATGATGCCGATGGCGTTAATGATGATGACGACGACTATGATGACGACTATGTAGAGGATGCTGTTGTTGGTGATGATGATGCTGATGGTGATGCTGATGGTGATGCTGCTGCTGATGATGCTGATGATGATGCAGACGATGGTGTTGATGAGGATGTTGTTGATGATGGTGGTACTGATCATGACGATGATGATGATGATGATGCTGATGATGATGTTGATGATGATGATGCTGCTGATGATGATGATGTTGTCTAAGGTAATGGTGGTGATATAGATGACGATGCTGGTGCTGATACTGATGCTGATGCTGATGCTTATGCTGATGATGATGACGACGATTATGATGATGCTCATAAGAACAATGATTCTTGTAATGGTAATGATTATAAGGAGGACGATGCTGTCAATGATGATGCTTATGCTGCTGTGATGCTGCTGCTGAGGCTGATCAGGATGATGATGTTGCAGATGATTATGATAATGACGGCAATGCTGGCGATGATGACGATGATACTGATGGTGTTGGTGATGGCGATGATGATGTTGATTGTGATGATGATGGTGACGACGGTGGTGATGATGTTGTTGTTGGTGTTGATGGTGCGGAAGGTACTGTTGATGATGACGGTGATGATGGTGATGCTGATGCTGATCATCATGATGTTGCTGTTGATGATGATGGTGATGATGATGGTGATGATGACGACGATGATGCTGATGAGGATGATGATGACGAGGATGAGGATGAGGATGATAAGGGTGATGCTGATGGTGACGATGATGATGATGATGGTAATATGATAATGATAATGATGATGCTGATGATGATTGCGATTATGATGACGATGCTGATGATGTTGATGACGATTATTTTGATGATGATGATGATGCTGCTGCTGATGATGATTATGTTGATGCTGGTGATGCTAGTGATGATGCTGATGCTGCTGCTGATAATGATGACGATGATAAGATGAAGGGAAGAACATATCACGAATTCGAATGAGGCAGGGTAGCATCATGAGCAGGGTCAGCAGCATGGCACAGCGGAGAAGCGGCAGCGGCTGCATAAGCAGGAGCGCGACTCAAGAGGAGGAGGAGGAGGAGGAGGAGGAGGAGGATTACGCTCGAGGAGGAGACGGTGGCACAGCAGGGGAGATTAAGAGAACGAGGACGATGAGGAGGACGGAAGACGACGGAGCGATGATGGGGACAATGCGCGGGATTGGCGCGGTGGAGGTGGCTGGATGGGGAGGTGTTCGCCAGCAGAGCGTGGGAGCCATGCATGTTCTCGTGATTCCGTCTTTGGGAGTGCACCAGTTGGCGTGCGCTAGCGTGTGGCAGTCGACGAGGAAGCGCCGATTTAGCATCGATTAGCGTCGACCCGGCGTCGATTGGCGTCGATGAGCGTCGGCCAGCGTCGATTCGCAAGAGCCAGCAGGATGGCACGGGAAGCTCCCATGAGTTGCCGCCGAAGAGGTGGCCCAAGGGGCGAAGCCCATACTGCCCCGTCCAGCAGGTCTTTGTGATCGACGTCATCGACGCCCTGTTCGAGAACATCCAGGCAAACCGCGCCGATGCCCGCGTCCAGGGCCGCTGTGTGGGACGCAGAGGGCGCGCCGAAGGACGGCATGTATCTCGAAGGGACGAGGAGGATAGGGGTAGACAGCAACTTCGCCATGCCATACCCCCCATCCTGCCAGCGCATTGCCCTCGCCCTTCCCCTTCCGGGTCTGTCTCTCTCCCTCTCCCTCCCTCTCCATCCTTCTCTCTCTCGCTCTGTTTGTTGTTTTTTGTTTCTCTCTCTCTCTCTCTTCCTCTCTGTCTCTCTCTCTCTCTCTCTCTCTCTGCCTCTCACTCTCTAGCCTGGCCCGAGTCCCTTGAGGACAGAGCGCGGCTGCGGATGCAGACCCCCCAGCGGTCCTGGATCCACATGAGGCGTTCCAAAAAGGGCCTTCCCTTCGGGGATCGAAGGAGTTGTCATCTCTTCCTCGGCGGAAGGCGGCGGAAGGTCGGCGGAAGTAAAACGAGGCCGCCTCCGCCGGCGGAAGCCGGCGGAAGCTCGGCGGAGGGCGGCGGAAGTACAAGATGTGCCCCCAAGAGACGAAAACGTTTTTGGGTTCAGGGTTTCCGAAGTCGCCCACATGGGCAGGCTGGGTAAGCCCCATCCCAGGGCGCAAAACCAAGCTGCACCACCGTCCCTCCATATCACCGCGCCGCCGTGTCATGCGCCGCCGCGCCGGCGTCGCATGCCGAGCGGCGACCACCCCGCGTGGTCTGCCACTTCGGCGGCCCGACGTGCCGACTCCTGGGGGGGGGGGGGGGGCAGCTGCCTCGAACCTCGGGAACCTTGAGACGGGGGTCCATGCAAACGGGGGTCAGCCAGAGCGCCCGATCTTGCAGGGTCCTGTAGGGCCAGAGTCGCATCGCCCCGGGCTTGGGTGCAGGATCCTGCAGGACCTAGCAGGATCCTTCACATAGACCCGGGTTTGGGTGCAGGATCTTACAGGATTTTGCAGGATTCTGCAAGGCCTGACTGATCCGGGTCTGGATTGACCCGGGTCAGAAGATCCCCGAGAACCGTGTTTCGTGCCCCCTTGCATCGGCCACCACGTCTTGCGCTTCGCTTCCAACTCGTCCATCACTAGAACTATCAATACTTCAAGTTCACGATGTTGACGGCCATGCCCTTCCCGATCCACCTGCGCACGATCCTCACGATCGTCTGGCTGATTGCCACGAATACCTCCCAGCGCGCGATTTTCAGGCACTCCGAGTCGACCTTCGCGACGTCCGCGATGATCTTCGTGTTCTTTGTGCCGAACTCCTACGCCCCCCTTCCGGCCAGGTTGGCTCTCGTCCTCTTCGCAGCGTTACCCATGGAGACCTTCAGGACCAGCGTGGCCATCTACGCGGCGTCTTACGTGATCTTCGTGTCTTCTTCCGTGCCAAAGCCCCACCACCCGCCGTGCAGGGAGGCCGCCCGGCCGAAACTGCCGCCAGCCCCCATGAGCCAGAGCATCGCGGCCCTGCCGACGGGTCACCGCCGACTGGCACTGGAACTGGCCATGACGTTGCCGTGCATGGGGACCTCCCCCCTGAGAGTCTGCCGATTACCCATGGCGCCAGCCGGAGGGGGCCACCAGGCCCCACACTGCAGCCAGACCACCCGGCGACCGTCTGCTGCCTACTGACCAACGCTCGCCCCAACGCGGCGCCGGTCATGGCTCCCCAGAGGTGGACCACGCCCGCATCCGCACGGTGACCCTGCAGCTGGCCGCACGGGCGCCGCTGCGACGAGCATCACCCCCACGGTTCGCGCCGCGCCTCGCCGAGCGTCACGCCAAGGCACTTGCAGCAGCAGCCACCAGGCTCGCTGCTCGTGTGCACCGAGCGCCGCACGCAGAGGATGACATCGACGGTCCTCCCTGCATCCATCAGCACAGCACCGCTCGGCCGCCAGCGACAACGCCAGCGCCATCACCCACTGCGTCGGGACAATCAGAGCCCATTGGGGACAACGCATCAGCAGACTGGACCGATGCACTGGCTGCCCACGCTGGCTTCGCTCCTTCCTCCGTACCTCCACCTATCCACGGATGTGCCGAGGTGGAGACTACCAGCAAGAGGCGTAATCTCACTAACGGCCGCCACGGCACCGTCGTCGGCCGAACGGGGGGACAACCAATACTGAGTAGTCCAGCTGACCAACAGCAACACTGCCCACATGCGCACGTCCAGCTTGACAGCTGACCCCCTAGCGGGAAGAAGACCATCGACATCCCGAGGCCGACCATCAGGCCAGCGTCCGACCATCGACTTCGCCCGTCCGCTGTCCGTCCCACGAGTGCGCCGACTCCCGCCGCCGACGGCAGCCGAACGAACGTCGACCGACCACCGCGCGCCTGTCGACCAGGCGGCAGCGCACGGAGCAACCACCAGGCCCGCTGCTCGTGTGCACCGAGTGCCGCGCGCAGAGAAGGACACCGGCCGTCCTCCCAACGGGGAGCAGCCCGCCGAAGTCCCGCCGACGACTGGCAGGCCGGCGGCCGACCAGCTGCCGCGCCCGTCTGCCTCCCGTCCGTCCACAGCGCGCCGATTCCTGCTCCCGCCGCCGACGGCCGCCGAGTGAACGTCGGCCGACTGGCGCGCGCGCCAGACGGCCAGGCAGCCGCATGCCGACGCCGCCCCGCAGTGGGCCCCAGCGCGCGCGCCAGCCAGACCTACACACGTGGTCACGCACGCGGCAGCACCCCTGCCCCGTGCCGCGAAGGCGTTGGCGTGCTCAGGCCTCCCCCTGCGCGCCCCACTTCGGGCCCTCCTCCGTGGTGACGGGCCTGTTTTCCACCACCACCACCACCACCATAAGTTGGATGGGGGGAAAGAGGAGGAGGAGGACGAGGAGGAGGAGGAGGACGAGGAGGAGAAGGACGAGGAGGAGGAGGACGAGGAGGAGGAGGAGGAGGAGGAAGAGGAGGAGGAGGACCACCTCCCCCTCCAACTTATGGTGGTGGTGGTGGTGGTGGTGGTGGAACACAGGCCCATCCCGTGGGCCGGCCTGGCTGGCCACCGCTGCTCGAGCGCTGGCCGCGTCCCTCTCGCCTCCGCGTGCTGCTCTGCCCCCGCAGCGCGCCATGCCGCAGGGGCGACGACGGCCACGCAGGGGCCAAGGCCCTACGATCCCCGACGGCCCCTCTCGACCCCCGTCGGTCCCCTACGCCGCCCCACGGCCACCGACGGCCTCCGTTATCACCAGGCCGTCGCGTCATCTCACTCTGGGCGCTTGCCGCCTACCTGATTCGCCCCACTTCGGTTCCCGACTCCGACCCGCCTCTGGGCCCCGGGGACTGCGGAAGACGGCCCCTCCGTGGCCCGACGCGCGTACAGCGGACCAGTGCCTCAGGCTCCGCGCGCGAGCACTGCGTTACTTGCCGCGTGCCCTGCCTGGGACCACGGCCGACTCTGGCATATGCCCTCACTTTTTACATCCACGGCACCCTTGGCGCCAACAGTGGCGCTACGAGCGCGGCGGTCATGCACGCCTTCTTCTGACGCCGCCCCATGGAAGCGGACGACGCCCGCGACCGACGCCCTGCCCGGCTGGACGCCTTTGAGAGCGTTGTGGACCGACATACATCGAAGACAATTTTGTCCGCACCTGTATTTCGAAGCCGTTGGACGGCTGACCGACGGCGGTGCTGCCTCTCGGAGGCACTGGCCCCATGCTTCGTGCTGCCCCTCGGCGCCGCCGTCATAGCCACCGCCTTCCGCTGCCGTCCTCCGTCTGCCCCGTGCAGGCGAGCGCCGCCCGGCGCAGAGCCGGCTCGGCCACAGGGCCAGCTTCAGAAGGTGTATGTGTGTGGCATGCGTCGTCGTGCGAGGGCCCTTGGATGCGCCCCGCGTACAGGCTGCGACCGGGGCCCCTGCTGTCTTTCGAACTGAGGCATCTATCTCACCTTCGTCAGAGCCCCGAATCATCAGGGGTAACTCGGGTCAGGGCTGACTCGGGTTCGTTTTTCGGGAATCCAAACCCGAGTTGCCCCGGGCCCGAGTTACCCCGGATAACTCGGGCGTCCAGAGCCCCAAATCATCAGGGATAATTCGGGTCAGGGCTAACTCGGGTTCGTTTTTCGGGAATCCAAACCCGAGTTACCCCGGGCCCGAGTTACCCTTGATAACTCGGGCGCCCAACTTCTCCGCAGGCGGCCCCCGAGAGCCCTGTTTACCTCCCCTGTTCCTGCCCGGCCCCCTCGCTGGCGCTGCCTCCCGGCGCCGCCGGCGAGGGGCCGGGCGGGGCCGGGGGGCGGCCGTGCCTGCGCGGCCGCCGGCTCTCGGGCCACGGGTCGCCCGGAGGTTCACGCGGGGGGGCCCCGGCACCTCCCCGCGGAGGTCTGGCCCCGTGTGCACCTGGCCCTGGGCATCGCTCGGACGTGTGCACTTTGCCTCAAGGGCGAGGACCATCGAGGAGAATCCTTGATCATCTGGCCAAGAGGCCACGCACGAAACCGAGCATAATAAAAACACAGGGAGTCGACGCCCGAGCGATGGCCAGGGCCACCCGGGGCCCCTGAGATCGTCTGGCGCCTCGGTCCATGGACTGCGCTGTGGGCCGCGGCGGGCCCAGACCCCCGACGTCATGATTTTTTCATGACGTGGACCCCCAGCGGTTTGGACCCATTCCCCGGGACCGGTGTTTCCTCCTGAGTCGTTTTTTGACGGTCCCGAGGCCCGGTAGGGGCCCCCCAAAGCCACAAATGTGGAAAAGCCTCCCGTCGTGATTTTTGCGTCTGGGGCGGGGGTTGCCCCCCGCGGCGCCGTCTTCCGGGCCCCGGGGCGCGCGCGCCCAAGCGCGCTGACGGCGGTAAGGGCGGGGCCTCGCGGCAGCCACGGGTGCGCAGAGGGGGCGCGCGGCGCGCTCCTCGCCACGCCCTGCCAGTGCTTGCCAGTCGGGGCCCCTTCGACCGCGCCGGAGGGGGGACGCGTCTTGCTGCCGCCCCTGCCGTTCCCGTGCGGCACCTCCCGCTTTGTCGAGGCAGGCCTCGAGGGCGCTCGTAAGCCACAGGCCTGGGCACACTGTCCAGCGCGTGCGATCTCTCGCTCTCTCTCTCTCTCTCTCTATCTCCCTCTCTCTACCTCTCTCTACCTCTCTCTCTCTCTGTTGGTCTTCTATCTCTCTCCCTCTCTCTCTCTCCCTCTCGCTTTCCCCCTTCCTCTTTCACTTACGTATGTATCCTTATCTCCCTCTCTTCCATGGCTCGCCCTCGTTCTGTATACGCTTACCCGGGGAAGGGCTTGGGCGCCCTGAAACCGGGATCTCCAACCCAAAATTTAGTTCCTGGGCTTCCTGGTGCTTCCCCGGGACTGTCTTGACGGGGCCATGAGGGTCCAACGAAGCCTCCGAGACGGTCCAGAAGGCCCTCGAGATGGCCCAAGAGCGTTCCAAGACGCATTGTACCATGGCTTCGATAGGGCCTACGAGGCCCCGAAGACGCCCCGAGAGGCTCCGAGAGGATTCTCCAAAGGTTCCCCAGAGGCAAACGCGCCCCATGTTTTTTTTGCACAACGTACGGTGTTAGCGTATTCGCTTGCTGGTTTCTCTCGCAATCCAAAAGGGCCCAACAGGCCCCCCAAACCACCCCAAGACAGCTCGAGAGACCTTGGGGCCCTCCTGAGGGCTTCAGGAGGGCCCCAAGTCGGCCCAAGATACCCCGAAGATGGCTCAAGAGCGCCTGGAGAGAGCCCCCAAGAAAGGCCCAAGAGGCTCCAAGAGGTCCCTGAGAGGTCCTAAGAGGCTCCTAAGAGGCCTCAAGAGGCTTCCAGCGGCCACAGAAGGGCCCCCAAAGGCCCCCAAAGAGGCTTGTACGAGGCCCCAGAGAGGTCTACAGGAGGCCCAAAAAGGCTCCGACGACCGAAAAGGTCACGCACGTGTTCGGACACCATCAGCGGACATTGCACAGGCAACTCTTTATGTTGCTACCTCTTCCTACCCCCACCGTCATCGAAGTATGGAAGGTCACAGCGCCCCCTTCCCATGATGTTAGCATGCGGTCGGAGAAGGCCCTGAAGAGGTCCCGTGGGTGCTGGGACACTCTCAGCGCCCGCCTTCCAGGCATTTACATGTGTTGCTGTCTCTTCCTGCCCCGACTTCAACGAAGTATGGAAGGCAAGAAAAACGCTGCCTTTCCACGATGCTGGTACGCGGTTCAACAAGCCTCAAGAGCAGCCCGGAGACCACCAGCAGGCTACGCCCCCACGAGGCCACCAAACAAGTCTGAGAAGCCCAGTCCCCATAATCCACGAATGTCAGGGCTACGCAGCCATTATGCTGCTCGTTATCATGTGCAGCAGGGGGAGAAGTGGGAGGAGCAGGAGTTGGAGATGGAGTTGGAGGAGGAGGAGGAGGAGAAGGAGGAGGAGGAGAAGGAGGAGGAGGAGGAGGGGGAGGGGGAGGAGGAGGAGGATGGGGAGGGGGAGGAGGAGGATGAGGAGGAGAGGGGGCGGACGAGGATGAGGAACAGAAGGGGTCCCTGGCGCTCGCGAGCCCCATCCCTCGAGTTCGTTTTTGAACGCAAGTGTTCTCTGACCCCGAGAGGCCTCCGAGACCGTTTCCAAGATGGCCTGAGCAGGCAAGATCCGATGTTATCGTTTAGTTGTGTGTGTGTTGCTTCTGGTGTATCCCCTTTTCCAGCCTCTGTGCGTCCAGGACGGCCAACCAGGTACCAAGATTACCCCCCGCGGCGGTGGCGGTGGTCTGAAGGTCTGGAGCCTCTGGGGCCTTCTAGCAGAGTTAATGTTTCTGTGCCCGGACAGAACACCTGGGCGACACAACCCGAAGGGAGGTGCCCAAGGTACCTGCATGAATTCACATGCAGTCGGACCTCGCAACATGAACGGCGGCACAGACCCGCCCCAGGCGTCACATCTGCGCCGCCGTTGCGAGGTGCCTCGAGATGCCACCCCAAGACACGGCCACCTGCACCACCCCCACTCGGCCGCCGGCCTCAAGCAGCGGAGGCCCCGCTGCCCAAGGACTTAAGTTCCCGCGCCCCCCACGTCGGGGGACCCCTTCGAGTAACCCCATCGGGCCTCTCAGGGGTGGCATGGCGGGCCAGCACCTACTGTGGCTGGCCAGCCACAGGGCAAGAGTCTCTCCCACAGCCCCGTCGAGGCGTGGTGACGATCGGGCTGCCAACCCGCCTGTTTTCCTGGGACGGCAAGAGGGCACCCTAGCAGAGTTAGCTCAAGACGACCCCAACATGACCCAAGAGCGCACCCAGGGTAGCCCAAGACAGTCCAAGGAACGCAACACCGCCGAAGAAACTCAAGACGGCATAACATAGGCCCAAGGCGGTCCCAACACGTCCCCAAGAGTCCCCAAGCGGGCCCAAGACAGCCTAAGAGATGTCCAGAGCGACCCCCAAACGGTAACACGATACCCACAATACAGTCTTCTCAAGCACGCGTGCAAGGAGCTCATGTCGGCCCAAAGACGGGTGGGGGCGACCGGGAAGCTCCTCACGAAAGCTTCCGAGAACCGAAACCATCGAACTTGAGGCATTGCCGCAGCGACCTGAGAGGCCTTCTCTCCCGCGGTTATCCATGAGTTGGGCCCAGATGCGTTGCCCGATGCGGGGGCGGGCCTCGATGCACGCTGGTTCGACCATGGTGGCGTGCACTAGGGATCACGACCCACGACTCGAGAACCCCTCTTTTCCGTTCGGCTCTTCTTCCGGTCCCAGGGCGGGGCCAGAGAGACGCAAGCCGCGTTGATCAGCATTTCCAGGGCTCCCCTACATGTTGCCAGCACCGCCAGCCCAACTTGCCGCAGGTTCATATACCAACCCCGGATTACCTCCAACATCGTCTCTTCAATTTTCAAGTGCAGTTTTCGATGGGATGGCCGGCTGGAACCTACTGGCGCGCGATGCGCGCGCGGTTCGAGCATATGAACATGTTTACGCTCACATGTCCCACAACATACACATACACATAAAGTTAGTCTGATCTTTCTCTCTATACACATGGATATGCATATACATTTACGTATGTATATAGATGTACCTCTCTCTCTTTCTGTATCTCTCTCCCTCCCCCTATCTTCTTCTACATCACATATGTTGTCCCTCATGCCGTCATCGATTCTCCACGCCCTCCTCCCCCCCCTCTTCCTCTCCCCCTCCACGCCCTCCTCCCCCCCGCTTCCTCTCCCATCCGACCTATCCGTCCCGTCCGTTCCCTCCGCCCCCATTTGCCTCTCCTACCCCGCCGCTTATTCAACCTCTAGCTTTTACTTATGCTCTTTTCCTCCACTTTTAGCACTCCCTGGCCATGCGTGCTCTGCATCTGCTCCTCATCCTTGCGCTTCCTCTTCTGCCACGCCTCCCCAGTCCTCGGTCGAGCGGAACGACTTCCGCGAGATGCCTTTGAGGGCGCTGCGCCGCTGAAGGGAGGATGGGGAAGGGAAAAAATATGGGGGGCGGGCAGGGAGGGGAGAGGGTGATGGGTGCGAGAAGTAGGGCGGAGGGGAAGGATGTGTGTGAAGTGGAAGAGCGGGTAGTTGTCCGTTCTGCTCAGGTCAGCCGTCGCTCATCACCGTCACTATAGCATTTCGCATGCGCGCAATCCTGTCAAACGCTGCTGTTTTGGACGGTGTGTTGCGATTCTGAGCCTGCGCATGTGTTTATGAATGTGTGCGCGTGTTCGTATGTGTGCGTGGGTAAAACACTTGAACGCGTGTGCGTTGCGGAGAACGCTGGTAACTGCGCATGCGCTATCCCGTCGCTGTTCCGGCAGGATTAAACATGTGGTGGCACAGGTATATCGTAAGGCGCTGCTCTGGGGGAGGGGGGGAGGGAGCGGCGTTGCGGGATGTGCCTCAGTTCTTTTCGATGCTGGGCCAGCAGTAGCGAAGGGGTAGCGAAACCCGTGCCACTCTCAGGATTTGACTTGCGCGAGCGCCACCGACCTCAGTGCCGACGTGTCTTGCCGCACTTAGTGGTCCTTCTTCCAGCTGCGGCTATGCGCGGCGACATGGATTGCTTCATGTTCTACAGTGTAGGGGGCTCGACTTCTGTTTTTGTTGCGGTCGCCAGTTCTAGCGAGATGGAGTGGCCTTGCGGCGCCGTAAATTTGTCTACGGTGACGCGACGTTGCCTCTTCCATGCTCAGCTGAAAGAGCGTTCGCGCTGGTGGAAGTCACGTCCCTTGCAGCAGTCTTGCTGCCTGGTAATGCAATCCTCTCCGGAGGACTAAAATGGGACACCCTTCCATCACACAACTGAAAGCGTCCTGGGCGATTTGTACATCGTCCACGACGAGGAGGAGCCCAGCCTTACCATCGATTCGTCCAGCGTGCAGTCCCGCAGGCCTGAGAGGCTTTGCAAGGACTTCAGAAGGTTTCTACACTGCAGGCGAGTTCGAGTGGTCGCGGCCCATCGCCGTGGAGATGTCACGGTTTGACGAACAGCCTTGGGTCTGGGTGCGCACCGTACGCTTGGTCGGTTTCGGTGGTGCATGGATGCGGGGGATTGTCTCTGAGTTACCCTGTCAGATGTGGGCCTGGTGGTGGCCCATGAGCTGCTCAAGGCGGTGATCTCGACTTCCCCAACGCCGTTTCTGGTGTCAGCAACGACGTCGTGAAAGAAAATGCACGTACTTTGGAAGGCAGATTCTGCGTGCTCCAGGAGAGCCACGATGGGCCGTCCTTCACAGTGGGGCTTGCCAGTAGCGGAGCGGAGCACGCGGGAGGCATCGTCCAAGAAATCCGGGACGCGTGATTCTGAACCGCGAGAAGAGTACGTACAGACGCCAGTTCGGGTACCAGATGTCTATTAGGCCGAAGGGCCCCGACCAGTCGGCGGCCTTGGAGAGAGTAACCCCACCCCGATGCTGAGGCCAACAACGACTTTGACGCTTGAGCAAACGTCCTCCCCTGACATTGGTGACAACACTCGCTTGGACGCTGTCGGTGAAGCACGCCCCGACACAGGCTGACGAATGCAGCGACGGCCCGAGGTATACATGCCAGCGGGAGAAGTTTTACATGAGCTGGCAGAAATGAGTGGCTCATTGGATGTACGATTGCCAGTGGAACTCGAAATTGGCCCACAGGCCTGTTGACGAGCGAACCAGCGCCACATGGTCCCCACGAAGTAAAACATCAGCCGTGGATTTGTCGATGAACTGCGCAGCGGCATCGAATGGAACGCAGCTCCAGGTCGAGGACTTGTGGGCTGCAGTGATGGTGCCGCAGCAAAGCCTTCGGGATTGCAGCGTTTCGAGCAGCGATCGGCACTGTAACCCGCTCGTGGGACCCTGAAAGACGAAGCATGCGACAATGCCTCGAACGACATGCTGAGTACGAGGCTCCCGACGTTGATCAACATGAACTTGAGCAGCAGAGCGAAACTGGTATCCACTGGATGGGCAAGCAATGCATCGTGAATAGCGGCCCTGACCAGCACACCGCCTGCCAGAAACATATGTCAGAGCAAAACGAAGATGTTTAGCAACGAGCCTGACATCAATTGTAGGTTGACGAGTAAGGCATCGACCACTTCAGCTATGGATTGGAAGCAAGCGGGCACCAATTAGCTATAGACACCACTTCGGGCGTCTGGGCGGCAATCTGGAGCACGCATGTGCTGTCCGTTGAACTAGTTATGCCAGACTGGGACTATCGAGCCAGATGCCACTATCACGTCCACAGCCAAAATTGCAAGAAATACCAGGGGCAGCGCAATCGCGGCCAGTCCCACCATCAATACCACTTTTGTTCCTCCAGTCCTCCCTGGACCTCCACCACCTCCTGTATTACACCCTCCAGCATTGCTGAGGCGTGACCTCAGACTGCCAGCCGCTCTCTCAGCCACTCCAGATGACTATTCCAGTCGCCTGGACGCCGGATCCCCCGAACCTTTGAGGGAGGGGACTGGGATTCGCGTCAGTTGCAGCTTGGCACCCCTGGGGTGCTCCTCCTGCCGACAGAAGGGCACGCCAGGTGAAGGCGCCTCGTTGCGGTCCACGCTGCCCGGCTGCGGATAGCAGCTGTCTAGTGGTGGAT